GTTGTTTGCTGACATCATGGAAATGGTCATTTTTGGCTTTGTAGATAGCGGCATACATGAGTTGACATTAATAAATAATTAAAATATTGAATCTCTTAAGACCATCTAAGGGTAGTATTTAATGAGCAGTCTTATTTAAAAACAAATAAATAAATGGCTTGACCTTTAAAAGACCAGTTGAGAATTTGTAATATTTATAGAATTACTTGCAGTTCAAAGTTCAAACCTATATATTAATCTTCTATTGGATGTTTATTGGTTTTTGACTATAACATGACTGCTATGAATCCACCTGGAGCATCGAAACAAAACCTAAACAATATAACAAAGTATAATGAAGAAAACAAGAAAAATATAGGCTACCAAAAACATGAAAATGTCATCCAAGTTTGGACTTTTGCAGGAGTCATGGAAAGATATAATGATTTTTTTTTTTGGGCCAGAGAAAGATAAAATGAATTAAGCTATCAAGGATTGGATCTATTCTAGATAATTACAGTTAAGTTTTAAACTATTAATTTAATTAGAATTAAGTTCTGGATAAAAAATTTTGTCGAATAAATTGAGAATAAAAATTCAAATATTATAGTTGAGATTTTTTCCAAATCAACTTTTGCAAAAAAAAAATGATAACAATAAGACTGCATTTATAATTGAAATTTTCATTTGCAATTTTTTGAATTGATTTATAAATATTTTTATAAATTTTTTTTGAAAATTAAATTGATATTTTTATACCTACCTGACACTTTTCCTTGAAATTCTTTTATAATCTCGGTAAAAAGTACTTTAATAAAACGTCGATATGTTACAAAAAATTTCATGTATTAATTTATATCACGCAAAATTTGAAAAATAACCATAAATAATATGATACTTTCTTCATTAAAAAATATAAAGTATTTTTTAAAAAAATTAAATATTAAAAAATATAAAATATGTTTAGTCTTTAGAGGTGTAATTATTGTTTTTTTTCTAAAAGTACCCTTATTGATAATGATTTTATATTTATTGTAGGGTATTTAATATAGGTAAATATGAAAAGAAAGGATTAGTTTGAAAGTATATAACTGCTTTATTGAGAGGTGAGATTTGATTAGAAATGCTTTATATTTTTTAACAGAAAGTGTATGTTATAGTCTTGATTTGATAAAAAATACTTCCTCCTTTAAAATATTTTTTAAGGAGTTGGATGTTTAAAGATGTAAGATATTTTTAATCTTTTGAGGTGTAATTATTGTTTTTTTAAGTGCCCCAATAGTAATTTTATATTTATTATAGGGTATTTAATAAAAATAAATATAAAAAGATAGGATTAGTTTAAAAGTAGATAACTACTTTACTAGATGTGAGATTCGATTAAAAATATCTTATATCTGTAAATGGAGGGGATATGTTTTAAGTTTTATATTGATATTAATTTGATAGAAGAGTGGCCAATTTTTTTTTTTTTAAAGCTACTAAGCATGAGAAAAAAATAATGTCAAATTAAAAATTTTCTATTTAAATAAAGGATAAAATTAAAAATTTATTTTATTTTCAGCTAAAATTAAAGATTCGACCACAATGAAATAATTAAAAGTCAGTGTGATCATTAATTAAGTTTATTGAAAATAAAAAAATGAAATACCTCCAAGTATTTAATATTCATCTGATAAAAAAAAAAAAGTATCCATTATTCCCCTTCAATGCGAGGAGAATCATTTCAAAAAAATCATTATTCCCCTTGGGATTTGAAACATCGAAAGACTAAAACATGGGAATGATTACTTCCCAAATTAAAAACACAAACTTAAAAGATGAGAATGATTGTTTGAAATTACTAGAAATGTCAGCTTCCCCTTCAATTCAGGTTCACGAGGCAGAATGTCCATTCTTCTCATTAACAATGTTTTCACTCACTCCCTTGTCTCTTTATTATACATTGGAATTTTCTTCATCTTCTCAATCAATACCATTTTCGTATTTTTTATTAAAAATAATTTTTTTAACACATGACCAAATATTAAATATAAGTATATTATTTAGTAAGGATTCGAATTTTAACTTATCATCATTGTGAAAACTTAGCTCTTTTTGCAAAATCCAACCCCTATTAACATCTCATTAATCTATTTAATTATTCATTTAATTTTTAACAATATAAGATTGCCAATTATGTATTTGAGCTGAATTATAATGTTTGGTCAAAGTTTAATTATTTAAGCTAAAAGCTTAATTTTAGCCCAAGCTTTTTTTTTTTTTTTCCTGGGACTAAGTAATAGCCTTAAAAAAGTGTGGCATCTCTTTGAAAAGGAAAGAGTGGAGGGAGCTTTGGAATAACTACAACTAATAGCCTTAAAAATGTGAAATGTGGAGTTAAAAAAAAAAAATTATTACGTTTTGCCTATGAAGCAAGCCACATACACGAGACCTCTCAAGCTCTAATCAACTCAACAATATTTCAATCAATTCAATATTTGATTTGATCAAACCAAACACTTCTTCCTTTAACAAATAAGATTATTTCCTTTAGAGCAACATGCATCTAGTAGACAACAGCAAGTCATTAATAACCAGCTGAGTAATAGCTTTTATAGAGCAGTAACATCATTGCTCCAGCATTTTTCTTTTAGTCTTTTATCTTATATTTTTTGTATTTTCTTTTGTATCAATATCAATATCATGTTTACTCTCATCATATAATTCTTTCATTTTTTTTCATCTTTATTTCTTCATTTTTAAGAACTTACATTTGAAAGGATTGTGGCAAAAGACCTTGAAAACTCACCATTTAATTTAGAAGTTAGGTATGTCACACTATTTGAGGACACGCTTGTACAGTGCAAACATTATGATATTAAACTAAACATATTATTCATTAAGGGAATATTAATCATTTTATCCACATAATTTTAATTTAATTGTAATTCAATATCTAAATTTTTAATCTTTAAAAGTTTTAGTATTTTAAAATATTAATTCCTAAATTTCAAAATATTTTTTATATTTATTTTATTTTTTAAAATATGTCGACAAATATTTAAATGGTTAAATTATAGGGGTTAAATTACATCGAATTAAAGTTCAGGAACTGAGTCATAATTAACTCAAAATTATAAAAATTGAGTTACAACGATTCAAAGTTTAAAAACTAAGTTACAAATAAATTAAAATTACAAGAACAACTATTAATTTTTCCTTCATTCAATTACAATCATAAAGAAGCATTATCATCTTGTTTTGAAAAACATTTAAGTAATGATAGTATGTAAATGGCCATTAAACCAAGTGCCAAAATACAATATGCCACTCTAATTGAAGCATTTTATTTATACCATTAGTTAAAAATGTAAATAATAACTTTAAAGAATGAGTTTTCAGTTCTCACATCCAATAAAATTGAAGTGTTAATTAGCAAAATGTTCGTATAATTTTTTTGTAATGAACTATGGTTTAAAAATCTTTCATGTAAGGGTAAACATAATTTTTGATTCATGTATTTTACTCACTTTTTATTTTTGATTCCTATACTTTTTTTCAGTACTTTAAGTTTCTACATTTTTGTTTTCCATTACTTTCAATCCCTCTATTAGCAAAGTATGGGGACTTTGAAAGGACCCAACACAATAAAAAATAAAAATATAAGAACCTAAAATGCTGAAAAAAATATAGGGACTAAAAGCAAAAACTCAAGTAAAATACAGGGGTCAAAACTCATGTTTACCCTTCATATAATTATATACTACTCTAATTCTATTTATAAGTCACTTCCAACATGTTTCATTGGCACTAAAGAAAATTTTAAAATTCATTAACTCTATCTTAAAATTTAATAAATTCTTAACTTTACTCCTTTTAAATATACATCTTCAATAACATATTCTCTCTTTCCAACGTTCAATGGAGGGTTAAAAAAATTTATGATAAAAATTTAATTACGTGACTTATAAATAAGATCAAAAAATTATCCTCTCCCTCCCCTATAAATAGGACTGGAGGGAGTGTGATCCAACTAACCTGTATTTTTCATACATTGAAGTGAAATGATAAATATTAATAATTATTGTCTTTTATTTTCACTTAAAAATTATTTTTTATTTTCAATAAAAATTGATGGTAAAAAGAATTATCATTAAAATCAATTCATTCTTTTATTTATTTTACACATAAACAGCTGCCCTGTGGGTTATCCAAATTAGATTTGTTTTTAAATAAATTTAATTACAACTCTAAAGTAACGGTACCAGGACTACTTTTGTGCGTGTGTGTGTGTGTTCCATTTTGATTCCTTAACCTTTTTGAGAAACAAAAGAAGAGTGTGTGTATGTGTGTTCCATTTTGATTCCTTTACCTTTTTGAGAAACAAAAGAAGAGAAACAAATTTCAATTTTTAAGGATTTGTCTGTTCCCATTATTCTTTTTAATATCATAAATGTTTAATAGTAAAGTAAACCAAAGTCTTTTCGAAAAAGAAACGATCGTCTTAAAATTACTGAAATCTGAAAATGACATGTATCATCACATTGCTAATGAGGCTACAAAATAATTTAAAAACAGAAAAAAAAAAACAAACAAACACAATTACTTAATACTACCATGCGCAACTCAATATTTATGTTTAGCAAGAGAGATGCTCATATTTATCAACCTATATTTTTAAATCTGAACTGTTGTTTTTTTTTTTTAATTTTATCTCTAACCTAACTTTAAATATATCAATGTTACGTTTGAATTTAGGATCACTCCCAAACAAGGAAGGCAACATTGTTACTATGACAGTTAATTGTTGACAAATTTGAGCCAGTTAAAATAATCATATAAATTTTAAAAAATATATTTTTCTAAAATTAATATATATCATAAAATAAAAATCATTATATATTTTAAAATTATTTCAATATTTATGAAATATAGTATATATTTTTTTAAAGGGTCGCAATCTCCTGTGAACGTATCTCCGATGATCTGCCAACCCAAGTGAAGGCCACGCACTGTAACGTTGGCCACACTTTGTAAATACCGAACTCACATCACACACAAGGATTCCCTCTTCAATTTCTCCATCACAATTCATAGGGTCTCATTCTTCTTCGTCTTCTTCGTCCTCTTCCTGGAGCAAGCTCTGGTCTTGCTCTGCAAATGGAGACCTATGCTTTGCACTCGCTCTCCACCTCAACCTCCTTCTTTCGCTCATCCTTGCTCCGCCAACGTTCTCGCTCCATTTCCAATGCTCAATTCTCTTTTCCATCGAACCCCGCTTTCCAATCCCATTCACTTCCATCTCTCAGATCACCTGTGTCTCGTTTCTCTATCTCCCTTCCTTCCAAATCTTCCATCTTTATTACTCCTACCCGTAAGTCCCCCATAGCACACAGCCCAATTCAAGCTTCTTCTTCGTCTTCTCCGCCACCACCTCCTCCAGCTACACAAGGCGCCAAACTCATTCCTTTGATTATTTCCATAGGTATAGGTCTTGCCGTTCGCTTTTTAGTTCCCAGACCAGTTGAAGTCACTCCTCAGGCGTGGCAATTGCTCTCGATTTTCTTGTCGACTATTGCAGGCCTGGTTTTGAGTCCATTGCCTGTGGGGGCCTGGGCTTTTTTGGGACTGACGGTTTCCATTGTCACCAGAACACTGACTTTCTCGGCGGCTTTTAGCGCGTTCACGAATGAGGTGATCTGGTTGATTGTGATCTCCTTCTTCTTTGCTCGTGGGTTCGTGAAGACTGGGTTGGGAGATAGGATCGCGACGTACTTCGTGAAGTGGTTGGGGAAGAGTACGTTGGGTTTGTCTTATGGGTTAACGTTCAGTGAGGCGCTGATTGCGCCGGCGATGCCGAGCACCACCGCAAGGGCCGGTGGTGTGTTCTTGCCTATTATTAAGTCACTGTCGCTTTCGGCCGGGAGTCAGCCGGAACACCCTACGGCTAAGAAGCTGGGTTCTTACCTCGTTCAGACACAATTCAGGTTAGTTTTCAGTTTTCAGTTTTCAGTTTCAAAACTGTCAGGCTGAATAAAATTCTCCGGCGAAATTAGTATAATCTACAAACTTGTCTCATATGGACTTTGTAGTTGTGTCACTTTTATGGTAATCTTAACTGAAAAACAGGAAGAACTATGGTGATTATGATCGATGTTCTTTTTGCAGTTCTTCGCTAGTTTCCCTGCTTTAATGAACTAGGCATCATGTATGTCTACTATAGTTGTGCATTACTATTAGAAGTGATCATCATAGACTGCGGTGTTGCTAGCTTCTCTGCTTCCTGAGAGCTGTTCCTTTTTGAACATTGTTATCGTGCGATAAGGAAGTGACTTTTGCATTGCCATGTGATCTGTGACAGTCTGCTGGTAATTCTAGTGCTCTTTTCCTGACTGCTGCAGCTCAAAACTTACTGTGTGTCAAATTAGCGGAGGAGCTGGGGGTGATGGTTTCAAACCCTTGGGTTTCATGTTTAAGGCAGCCAGTTTACCTGCATTGGTTTCTTTTGCTACCACGTTGATTTTGTACAAGCTTTATCCTCCTGAAATAAAGATACACCAGAAGCACCAGCCATGGCTGCAAAGAAAGGAAAGCATGGGTCCTGTCACACGGAATGAATGGATTATGGTTGGTACAATGCTTCTTGCGGTCTCTTTATGGATCTTTGGGGGTGAGTCATGAGGTTCATTTAATGTCAACAAATAAAAATTGTGTGCATTTATGTTTTGATTGGTGGAATCAAGTCTCATGGAGATACTGAAAAATACAGAATCTTGAAACAGGAAAGTGAAGTGAAATAATTTTTCTTGGCATCTAGTTTCTATCCCTTTGCTTCTTGTTGCTAAAGTTGGGGGAAATTTTCAACATTCAAATTATTTCTTATTAGATGTCACTATGTTATGTCATTAGTTCATTGATGTCTTCCCGAACAAATATAAGCCATTGATGATTTAGGAATACCTAAT